AGCACTTCTAGTAATATATTTACTGAGAAAAATCTTGACATGTTCAATATTTATTTTACCCGCTGTAATCTTAGCAGGTCTTTCTGCCATGTGTGGTGTGTTAAGAGTCATCTAGTCGGCTCAGAAGGACGTTGGAACTGCTCCGACCTCAAATCGGGGGATATGTAACACGTTTGATTTTTTTGCCCAATATCGCAGCATGTGTGACGTTCACACGAGAATAAACAAGCTCACAACCTGTTCAATGTGATGTGTAGCCARTCAGAAAGCAAGGTGAYGTAAACAAGGAGGRGATTCCAAAATACAGAAGACWCGACAAACYGTCGTGACTCACCAGAAAGTCAGCTGAATGATGTAGAAGTCGTTTTGAGTTGTTTTTCTCTGTTAAAACTATCCCACAAAYGATCAACATTGCTTCTTCCTTGTCTCAAATGTTTATTTACTCAGAATATCTGGAGGTCACGCAAAATCTTTTCTCTGACATCCGAATTTTTTCAAGATATCAATACATCTTGTGTGATTTCCCATCTGACRTATGAATGTTCATGAATTAAATCTGTTTGTTGTTGTGTCTCTCAGCCTTTGACAACTGGCTGACAATTTTAAATTATTGCCATGTGACCAAGCCTTAATACTTAATAGAACTTATTGGTATATAGCTGATTTTAAAATGTGTAGACAACTAATTCAATCTTTACTGCTGCAGTTTTCTTCTTCGTCGTCGTCGTCGTCGTCGTCGTCGTCGTCGTCTTCTTCTTCTTCTCTTCTTCGTTTTTTTTTTATTTGTAAAATCAGTTGTGAAAACATAAAACTATTATGATGGCTTGTTTCTGCACATGTTAAAAGAAATATTTTAGAAAAAAAAAACCCTCCCAATAGTATCACTGCCACTGCAATTGGATTTTAACTTTACATCAGTGAAGAAAATTAGCTGAAAAATTATGTACATTAACAACCGCCTAATGTWTTTTTAATGAACCAAGCAGCCAAGCCAACTTAAAAGATATTTAACTGACCCAGAAGAAAAATAAGTACATGCTTGTTTCTGTGCTTTTTTTCTGGCCTCTGTAACACAGGAGAATGCAGCTGTCATGAGGGTTATTCACCCGATCCTGTTCATAAACACCTTTGTGTTCGCAGTGACTGGGGTCGCAACGAAGGGTAAGTCCTGTCTTTATTGCACTCATGTCTGCAAGCTCCCTTCTCATAAAAAAAAGTTTTATTTCAGAGCCTAACCTCAGCTTCTGGAAAGGAAAGGATGATTGATTACATAATTAGATTTTTTATCTTAAGGAAGATTCTTTATGGTGTATGTTGATCCTCTGAGTATTAGAATGAATAAACCTAATTCAACCACTTGCTGTGTGCTTTTAGTGGTGTAAAATTTAAAGGAGTTAATGAACTAAAACATCCATATGTTATGTACAGTGTTCACAATAATTGTCAAGAAGGCAGCACGTCTTCAGTAATAAGTATGTAGGAGGGAAGTTATAGGGTGTAATTAAACAAACGAGCAGGGGAGGACATAAAACATGAGACTGAAGGAAAGTCACTGAGAAGGGAGAAAGAAAAACTCCCTCTCTATGACCTTGTTTGACAATTAGTTGGCTTTTTTCAATCAATGCTCACTTTGTTTCTCATTCAGCCTTGCTTGTCATTTGATGTCCTCGGCCGAGTCAATGATCAGATCTCCATTCACTGGTTTGCAGAAGGAGCAGCAGTAATTGATTTAATCCCGCAGAAAATCTTTCATCAGAAGACAGTTGTTTAGAACTACTTTTTAGGTCCAATATAATAAACAGTCATGGGAACAAAAAGAAGATTGCACCGACTTTGAACTCTCAAGTTATCTCTATTGAAAGATCATCTTTCAATTGATGAAGTGAGAGACCGAATTATGTGCAGGACATCTATTCAGTTGTCAGACTTCAACATTTATTTACAGACGTAGAATTTATGAAACATAACCATTTCCTGAATCCCATCCTGACTCAAGAAAACTTAGGAAAAAGTTTCAAACAAYGTGTGACCCACAACTTTATACCACAGTAAAGTCCCACTCCGGATATGATGTCACGGTAAACATGGAAGTAAACACATCTAAACTGTAAAAGATTACATATTTATGCTGTTAGAGTAAAGCACATATAAGGATAGAGATGTGTAAACTCAGTTTAAAGTTAATGTTTATAGTTGAACACAAAGTCTAAAGTAGAAGAGTGTATGTAAAATTCAGTTTATCAGTCACAAAATATCTTGAACTATCAAATCAAAAGAAAATGTCTTCTGGTTCTCAGTAGGTCTTACAATAAGCCAAATATAATCTTGGATGAACAACACAAATTATTCTTCACTGCATCAATCCCCGTGTCATGAGCCAAGACAAATGCTGTTGTGCGGGAGTCTCCAGCCCTCCAGCACAATTTCTCCCTGCCAGATCAGTTGACCATGTGCCTCCCACCGTGCGGCCACCTCGGGCGAGGGGGACAGACTGGTACCTGGGGAGGCCAACGYGCATCTGTCACCACTACCCCAGGCCAGCGTTKTGGAGCGGGAAAGGCGAAGCTGCAAACCTCCTCGGTCATTGATCACGGCAGCACGTTCAACAATAATTTGTGCTAAATAACAATGTTCATGTCAAACAGCAATACTAAGCACATAACACATTACTTACTGCCATCATCCGCAGATTTGTGAATCGGTCTGAAGTTTCCTTCAGTTGAGGCACATCCTGCTGTGTACTGGTTGAAGTTTTCAAAGGAGTCCATTGTGAAATTATTTGCATAAACTACAACTTTCTTTGGTAATATTGCTAGAACATTGCCATCAAAAATAAAATAAAAAATAAAATGAAGTCACGCATGTCTGTTCTCCATGACTATTGTAAAAACAGCAGAACAAAAGTGGTAGTATTGTGAAGAATTGGGTGGAGTCTCCGCTTGGGTTACCAGGTGAGGGTCCAGGCTCGCCTTGGCATTGCTAGGTCACCTGGACTGTGATGTAACAATCTGCAGGTCTTTGAAACAGCTCATTTGCTGACACTAACAAAACATTTACATATTGTCAAAAAACAGATGGGAGTATTTATTTATTTATTTTTTGGTGGTTTGACTGTTTCTGGAAGCAGTTCAAACCCAAACTAAAGCTTAAAAACATGTAAAAAAGTTAAGTTTGCATAATAGGCACCTTTATATAACTAATTGTCATCAAGTGACACAATCTCTACAAAAGCAGACAGTTTGCTAGTCAGGAACACTTGTGTGTGAGGTAGAAAAATGCCAAAAAGACAGAGGAAAAAAAACATGAGTAAATGTTAGAAAAGCAATAGTATCTGTCAATCAATCTAGGAAATGTTATGAGGCCTTTTGCAAACAATGGGAGTCTGTCAGCCCACAGTGAAAAGGTTAAAACTGCAATCCTCAGATAAATGACAAGAACAGCTGCCTTTCAGTCAACAGGACCTGATCTGGTTAAACACTAAATCATATTATTAAAGAGATATYTTAGATCTTAGTGTTATTATGAAGTAGTTCTTAGTAGTCAGTGTCCTATCTGCAGATAGCAGTCAGAGAAATCTCAGTCTTGAGATTCACAGATGCTATTTATCATAAAGGATTCAAGCAATTCCACTAATAAAGAGAGACCATCTAAGTGCAATTTTCTATCATCTAAAGTGATTCAAACCTGACTAATTCCATAGATATTTAAGTGAATAAATTATTGTAATCTTCACACTGCATCACTTTAGTAACATGTGGTTATTTACTTTAACATTTGGGTAATAATGCTGAAGAATAGTGTTGGAAAAGCAAAACTGCCAAAACAAAATTATTAGTAACTATCTCTTTGTATTTGGTTCATCTTGAGAAAAAAAAAAGTCTTTGGCACATTGAATTCATTAAACAGACCTTAAACTCTGTATACTAAAGTGTTATTTGTCAGAAGTTCGCCTGTCTGACAGTTGAAGCCAACTACAAGTACCATTTTAAAGAAAATTGAACAAATGTTAAGCAATAATACTAGTGACTAACACAGTCTTATGAACAATTAATAATTCAAGTAAAGGTCGGTTATACACACCTATGAATCATGTTGAGGAGATTGATTTTTCTTCTAAAGCTTCTGCTAAGTTAGTTTGTGAAATAAAAAAACAACAGTAGGTTATCAAATAAAATACAAATTTTCAGTTGAAGTTACAATAGTAAAGAATTTGACTCAGTGAGGAATGTTTTTGTTATGTGAAGGACAATGCTTTAAAATAAAAAGGGTGTAATTTTTATTGATGTCTATTTTATTTACAATTAAACAATTGCACAACACTAAGATCTATGGAAGACGTGATAGTCCAAGATGTCAGTTTGGTTTGCACAAATGTGCTTGCATACATTTTTAAAAACAAAACTAAACCATGTAAATAAACTAAATAATGTTAACTGTCTGTTGTTGTCATTGCATCCCCTCTTTCTTGTCGTCTGTTAAGTCCTTGGCCATATGCAAACCTGGAGAAAGGATATGACCTTGTGACTGGACAGCAGGCCCCAGAGAGAATCTTCAGGTGAGTCCTACGCCTCGGTGCATCTCTTGAGTGCATCACTTGAACTAGCCATGTGTGACTCCACGGACACACGGTGGCTGCGTTCTTGGCATGAATTCATGTGAGTTGCATGTGTGTGACAGAGCATTCAGATAAGTAGGTGGTAAATGCATATGAACACAGCTGGATAGATTCGGAAAGACACCTCCTGCTGGAGGGGTCGGTGGGACTGTCTGTGTGCAGAATAGCCCAGGGAGCAGTTCTGGCTGGAATCCATTCAAAGGCTTTTACTGCCATTTTTACTGCACTTCTCTGTCTTGATGGGATCATCTTGTTTGACATTTTCACGAAGTGAAAAGCTCAAAGGTCTCATTCAGTGTCACTCAGCTGCTCTTTTCAACCAGTCCCCATACCGAAACTGTACAAACCGGTGTACAGTCAAAAGATAAGTGACAGGTTTTTGAAATTTTACTTTATTTTGTGCAAAAAATTAAAAAAAAATAAATCCTCCACCATGTGGGGCTGAAAGAATTCTTTGGCATAATGCACTTCTTCCCACTGACCTCACAGAGATAGCCACTCCAGTACAGCTCTCTATAAGAACTGATGCACTGAATCCACTGTTTATTTTCTCCACAAAATAAATAAATAAATAAATAAAACACACTACATAATCCAACTGTCCAACTGTGCACCGCCATTTAGAAGCACTACAGTATGTTTGAGAGCCAGCAGCACACACACGCTCACACAAAAGGTAGACTATATCGAAACACACACACACACATCCCCACACACAGTAAAAATTCAGCCTTGGACACACAGATACTGATAACCAACACGCTGAGTAAAGTTCTGGCAATGAAGTGGAGGCCTACATCGGCCTTAAAAGTGGGAGCATTTTTGTATTGTTGCACTTTGGAGTAGGAGGATAGAAGACTGCAACACTCTTCAAATGGATAGAGTCAGTCCTCTATGTCAGGGAAAAATGGAGGTTTATTGTAACAAAGATTAGTTTCACAGTTGGAGAGCTGAATAGACAACTGTGACTCCCTCTTAAGTTTTCTTCCTGGTACCAGAAACAGTCAGAAAAATAAGCATCTTTTGATCTCAAGGTATGAGGGCACAGGAAATGGATTTAAGTCAAATAATTTTAAATTGCCAATATTGAGAAGAAGCCAGGAGTGTTTCAAACCAGAAAGCAGAAATGTATTTGGCCTCTTTGATCCTAGTCAGGATTTTGTACAAGTAGATATTTCATTGTGTGGTTTGACACTGTCAGGAAAATTGAAGCAGAACATTCAAATGATCGGGTCTTGTAGACACAATGGTATGTTAGGCCTATTCAATGTCATTGCAAACGAAGAAATCAAGGTCCACAACTGCTTCAAATAAAGGCGCATATGCTTTGTTGTTCCAGCAGTACCCTAGTGTGGTATAAGGACATTTCTTTACAAATTGAAAACATCCTTGAACACCACTTTTTTATTATTTTATTGCAAAACCTATGAAACCGCAAGATGCAAACAGGCTGATATTCCTTGTGCTTTTTGCAAAAAAAAATAAAAATAAAATAATAAAATAATTTGTGTTATGCCAGAAAGACAAGTCACAGCCCCTTGCATGGTCACAGGGGACCAACGTACACATCAGACACTCCACTCCCCCACAGCTTTCTCTAATGTGTTTCTTCAAATATCGTTTGTTACCAACTGTGTCACAGATTCACCACAAAACATTTGAGCTGGTTGCAGTACAAAATCGGTATTGCAAGCTGTTTGTTTTCTCATCGCTGGAACAAAACTGCAGAATTATTTATTTGCTTACTGTGAATCTGGGTTTGTACAACACAATCTGAAGAGGAGTTCAGAAAATAAGGCTTTGTGGCAGGTATTCCCAGTTGTTCCAGAAGACTGTTTGGAGCAAAATTACTTGTTGTATTTATTCATTCCACAAAATTCAAGGAATATTATCAAGGCTATCTTAGTATCCTTTATTATACACACAGAGTATGTGCAGTAGTCAAAGAGGGACTAACTTGAACYGTTTGCTTTTCTGTTTAATCAACTTTTACTGATGATTGGCTTCTTATTGTAAAACATTTCAGATTTTGAGTCAAACAATACATACTAAGTCAATATTTTCTTTTTACTGCATAGCCAGAACATACAGTATATGTGTGTGTATATATATATATATATATA